TTACCGTCAGGAAGTATCAAATTATTCACGACAACAAGAGCAGAAGCCGAGTGGCTCCTTGAAAACAGAATCACCTGGTCAACAGTAGCTGACCCTGAATTTGTGACCTCACCCGCAGTGTTCCCGGTAGTAATCGATTCAGTACCAATGAACAACGAGACTTACCCATCTACGGAAAACATCAAGAGAACAATTACAGATCAGAACCCGATACCAGGGGAAACGATTCACTCAATCAGATGGCTCAGTAAACCATACTCAGGACAGACAAGTGGCTCTATACTCGTTAATTTATTGGACAAAGAATTAGCTAACAAGATGGTTCGAGGATCAGTTTACTTTGATGGAAACAGTTTAAGGGTTAGGGCATGCAAAAAGAGTCGAGTTCAATGTTTTCGCTGTCAAGAACCAGGCCACATTAGTCTGCAATGCAAAAACGAATTCCTCTGCAAAGAGTGTGGTGCCTCCCATGACTCCCGAACGTGCCCAAACCCCAAAACTGAGCGTCCTCATTGTGTCAGATGCATTGCTCATGATGCCCAAACAAACCCGGAAGCCCAAATTGAGAAAACTAATGACAAATATGCTCATTCAGTTTCAAGCGCGAATTGCCCAATCAGGTCAAGAAGTCTTACAAAACCATCACCTCAATCATGTTAAGAAACAACCAAGCTCAGGTTGCACAGAGTCCCCATTTTAATTTCAATTCTTTCTCTCTTTCTTCCTCCTCTACCCCACACCAGAGACCAGCGCTAACAGCCCCGGTGAACATAACAACTGACGACACTGACTCACACACAGATCTATCACAACTAATCGTAGCACAACTCAATTGCTTCAATGGTAAGTCAATCATAGAAAGTATACTAGCTGACAAACGATATTCAATCATATTAGTACAGGAACCGTGGATTAACCCCCACACACTAGACGTAATGAAACACCCGGCGTGGCACGACATAACACCTTACGACTATCGAGCACAAAAATATAACGAAAAAATCAGGACATGTATTTATATTTCTAAGAAGATACCATCTTGGCTAATTACAATCTTACCTAGCAGGTCCCCACTCTTAACAGCGGTTGAAGTGGCGATACCAAATGGACAAATCCCAAAAATACGAGCAATCTCAAACTACAACCCACCACGACACAACACGGGAATCCCAGTATTAAAAGACTGGCTGACAAATCACAATGACCGAAAAATAGCGACCATAATAGGCATGGACGCCAATTTACATCATCAACAGTGGAATCCGACAAACTACAACCACACACACACACAAGCCAAAGACCTGATACGCCTATGTGGATCTTCAGGATTCAAAATCAACTCTCAAAAACACATACCTACTTTTTACTCAAAATCAGGACGCTCATCAACCACTATAGATCTGACATGGATCAATCACAAACTAGCAAAATACAAGGTGATAGGACTAACAACAGAAGAGAATTATGGATCTGACCACCAGACTCTCTTGACTAAAATAGAACTTGGAGAAACACCAACACCACAAACTCACAACTCTGCGACACTAGAAAACATGGGAAAAGCAAGCTTCTATGATGATGTGGAAAACCAGCTGAGTAACTTCCCTGAGACGTTCCAAAGCACTGATGAAATTGACGCAGGGGTTAAACAAATAACAGATACGATAAAAGGAGCTTTCCTCAGACAAGGAAAGACAATTACAACGAAAACTCACCGACACAAAGCCTGGTGGGATGAAGAGATACTCAGACAACCGATTCGAGAAAGAAACAGAGCAAGACGATGGATGATTCTAAGCAGGACGCAGGACGCACAAAAGTGCTACTGGGAGTGGGACACATACGTCAAAAATCTGATAAGTGAAACAAAAAGAAAACACTGGAGAGCTTTCTTAGCTAAATCACAAGGCAGTTTATCTTTTAAAGCATTCAAATACACAGAGCCACACGGATCCAACGCGATTGCACCACTATACCGACAAGACAAGAGCTTAGCAACGGACAAAAGTGAACAAGCTGAGTTACTATTTCAAGGCACATCAATCGTACAAAATGAGTGTGATGAGGACGACATACCTGACACACAATTACAAACAGGACCATTAAATTTCCCACAAATAACCGAACACGAGATAAACGAGGTAATAGGAAAACTACCATCCAAGAAAGCCAAGGGAGAAGACGGAGTCCCTAATGAGCTGCTGAAACTAGCTAAGTTACTCCTCACTCCAAAGATGAAAATATTGTTCAATGCGTGCCTAAAAACAAGTTACTTTCCTAAATCATGGCGAACAGCTACGACAGCCATACTACGAAAATACGACAAAGAAGACTACTCAGTGGCAGGAGCCTACCGACCAATAGCCTTACTGAGTTGTTTGGGGAAGATTCTCTGAACAATCATAGCAAGACGAATGGCGTACTGGGCCGAAACACATCAAATATTAGCTCAAGGCCACATGGGAGGGAGACGTCAGCACAGTACGGATGATGCCTTCGTCATATTAACATCGTGGATACATCAAAAATGGAGGGAGGGTAAAGTAGTTTCAGCTTTATTCCTGGATGTCAAATCTGCTTACCCGTCGGTCCACAAAAAGAGACTGCTACACATTCTTAGAACAAACAACTGCCCAGAATACCTAACACATCAAATAGACTCTTACCTGGAAAATAGAACAACAAAACTACGATTGCAAGACTTCCTCTCCGAGGAATTCAATATAAACGATGGACTCCCACAGGGCTCACCTTTATCGGTAATGTTATATATCATCTACAATTCGACCTTACTAATAAACATGGAAATAAATTTACAGGCAAACAAAATATCGCTAGGATTCATAGATGATGTGACACACCTAGTAGCTAATAAAGACATCGACATGAACATCATGGAGTTAGAGGACGAAGGAGACCGATCTTTGGAATGGGGAAAAAAACATGGTGCGCTTTTTGATCAACGAAAAGCACAACTAATGCACTTCACCCACAAAAAACATCGAAACCCCAGCCTCGTCTTTGGAAACCAAGTCCTCCAACCAAAAACAGTGGAACTCAGATGGTTAGGATTATGGCTAGACCCCAAACTAACGTATGGCCCACACATACACAAACTTCACCAAAGAGGGAAAGCAACACTGGCTCAACTTAGCCGAATTAGCCGGTGTTACCATGGAATGAGCCCAAAGGAAACAAAAACGCTTGTCACGGCAATACTCAAACCAAGAATCCTCTTCGGAAGCATTGTTTGGTTTAATACACGAACAGAAAGTAAAGTAACAAAAATATTTCAGCTTATACAGAATATGGCTAACAGATTGGTTTTAGGAGCTTTCAAAAGTTCACCAGCAGAACAAATGAACCACGACGCTGACATGATTTCTTTCAAAGATCTGGCAAACCGATACAATCACAACTTCATATACAAGAGGTTGACCGCACCAAGTTATCACCCAACAAAGAAAATCCTCATAGAAGAACTCAAACACACACCGATAAGACATCAAAGCTCTATACATAGGATATTAAGAAAAGCTGACATGATTCTCCCGTTTGACACAATAGTCGAGACAATACACCCTTACCCGGACCCCCCGTGGATTGAGCCACAATGGGAAATCGAAAACATAGGGGAAAAAAGAGAAACGGTCAAAGATAGAATTCCAAACCAAATTGAAGAAGAAAGAAATAGAAAAGCATGTATAATGTTTACTGACGGATCGTTTATTCCAAATATAGGTGGTGGAGCAGCGGTAGCAGCAAGAGAATTAACGGCAGCACATGCGTACGGCCCAGCAGAAGGAATTTCCAACTACGAAATGGAGGCGATGGCAATTATGATAGCTCTTACCCAATTTAAAGAATTAACTGACAAATACCCGGATAAATATACCTCGCTTGCATTATTTAGTGACAGTCAAGCAGCATTAGAACTGTTTGCAAACCCGATGCGACCCAAAACACTTCAATATTTAGCAAGATTCCTACGAAAGTCACATAAACGAATATCTAACGACCTTAATGTTTCACTATACTGGACACCCGGCCATGAGGGGATCGAGTTGAACGAAAAGGCGGACGAAGCTGCGAAATCAGCTGCAGAAGACCAATCAGAAGCTATGACACTGCCAATAAGCCTAGGAGGTCTCCTACAACACACGAGAAAAATTTTCCACAAAAGGGGAGCTGTTTCTAAATTACCATTCAAAACACAAGGAAGATGGATTGCTGATGCACTCAATACTTTAGAAAAAGGACAAGCAGCCGCTATATTCCAACTAAGATGCGGGCATTGTCCCCTTCAGAAGTTTCTCCATAGAATAGGAGCGGAAGAGTCAAACAAGTGTGATGTCTGCTTAGCGGTCGAAACACCGGCACATTTCCTCATATACTGTAGAAAATACAACAAACAAAGACAAGAATTTAGAAAACAACTGAAGAAGGAAAAAATAAAAGTCAATATCAACTCTGCATACACACTATTAGATACACCAAAAGTGTTTCCTTACTTGGCACAGTTTATACAGGAAACTGGAAGATTCAAATATTTGAAGACATACTTAGACGATTAAACTTACATTGAAACAACATTATGCTGCATACCAATTTATTATGATTTATTTCTTTTTTTTTTTTCTTTTCTTGTTTTCCTTTTTCAAATTTCCTGTTACATATTATGGGCGCGCGATTTTAGAACAAAGAAATTATTGCAAAGGCTTGGTAGTCCGTTGTAAGAAAAACCATACAAAAGAAGTTGTAGTAGTTACACAAAACATAGTTAGTTAGATAGTGCGATATGTGAAATCCAAAGCACTTTAAAGGAGGGAAAGCGCGAAAAAAAAAAAAAAAAAAAAAACAA